ATTTTTTCAAAATCAGGGTTTCTGTTTTAACCCATTAAGTGTGTGTTAGTCTTTTTGTGCCGCAATAGAAAACTATAACATCCTCTAACACATCATCCTGTTTATTTCACTTTCTATAACGTCTCAATCTGCAAGGGTCATACTTATCATCTCTTTCCTTCCAGTCACCACCTTCAATTAAACGTCAACTCCATATCTGTCTTAGCCACTTCTATGAAAGGACTGACATAGACTAAATGCTTGGAAAATTGAAGAAAAAAAAAATCAGTGTTTCACCACCAAAAAAGAAAAGGTGGTTAAAAGGAAACTAAGAAGGGGGCGCCTGGGTGGCGCAGTCGGTTAAGCGTCCGACTTCAGCCAGGTCACGATCTCGCTGTCCGTGAGTTCGAGCCCCGCGTCAGGCTCTGGGCTGATGGCTCGGAGCCTGGAGCCTGTTTCCGATTCTGTGTCTCCCTCTCTCTCTGCCCCTCCCCCGTTCATGCTCTGTCTCTCTCTGTCCCAAAAATAAATAAAAAAAAGTTGAAAAAAAAAAAAATTTAAAAAAAAAAAAAGGAAACTAAGAAGGAAAAAACAGTGGGATAAATGCTGAAGAATTACAAATATCCAATTGATTAGCATTTATTCTGAAAGAAAGAAAAGAGGAAAATATTTTTGCCTCCCGAAGGGAGCATATGGGTGATCCTTGAAAATCGTTTTAATATCCTTCAGCATAGAAATCCTACTTCTAAAAATCCTACAGAAATATTTTATGTATTTATACAGAAGGATATATATACCATAAAATTCACTGTATTTATAAGGGCAACATATTGTAGAAACTTACACACCCACCTACAGGATAATGATAAAAGATACATGATGATATATGGTACATCCATACAATGGAATAATATTAGCATTAAAAAGAATGAATATGGTCTGCATGTACTGTCACAGAAATACATGTAACCAGGATATGATCCCATTTTTGTACAATTACATCTATGTAGATATAAATATATAGATAGAATGTATGTCCAGTGTTTGGGGTATATCTGTGAGAACACACACCAAATTATTAACAATATAGGGTTCTATGAAAATGGGGATTGAGGTAAGGTAGGGACATTTTGTTTTTCAGCTGAGTTAAATCTCCATTATAGAGGAGAGCAAATAATCAGCAATGCCAAGAATACTAGCATAGAAACCCTAAATAGAGCCAAATTAAACAATGAGTTGATCATAATGCAAACCACCCCTGAGCACCCCCCCCCCACTAGTAGCTAAACAGAGACAATAACAAGGTACAAGGGCAACTGTGTGATCAAAAATATCACAAAGAAAATGCAGCATCACTATGGTTGAGGGAATGGTCACTGGAGCTCAAAGCCCCATGTGCCAATTATCTCCATTCACGTTCCATCACTACACTGAGCCTCAATTTCCTGCTGAATGAGGAAGATGAGCAAGACGAGATAATGTTTTTAAAGCTCAGAGAGCCACTCAATCCTCCATAACATTTCCCTGCATGACTACTTGCCAACTCTGTAAATTCTACGATGAGATCAGGTAGAATCTCTGTACTTGGTGCAGTACTTGGTGAATGGTTAGGGGCGTTCTGGGAAGAGGTGTTTTAAGATGCTGGAGTAAGATTTTTTTGAGCCTCACTTTTCAAGCCTGGGAAGAAAAGCCTGGAAGGCTGAAAGAAAAGCCCCACAACATGAAGGAAAAGGAACTCGCAACGTAAGATAAAGATCCCAGGAGATTTTGTCACTTGAGGAGCATATTTCAAGGAATGGAAACCCTGAAAGAATTCACCAACACAGGCCACGGGCTATAGAAGTAATTGATAATGACTGTGGGGACATGAACACAGAAGTGATTTAAAACACCAAGGTCTAATTAAATGGTGCATCAGCTTTGATATCCTGAGAACGAGTAAGCAAGGGAATAGTGAGGTTCACAGGGTTTTCTAGACAACCATATGATATCAAAGGGTTAGTAAAGCTGGGGAGGAAACTTAAACTCACATTTCTCTAAAGCAAGATTAAAATATGAAATTGGTAGTAGAAAGGATAAAAATATTCCACTAAAGCTTCTTATGCTAAAAACCAGTTTAAAAAAACTAGAAAGATGAGATGATGTTCTCCTCTGACCTAATTTTCAAGGACCTTAGAAAACACAAAGTCCTCCACAGAAATAGCATACAGGGAAAAGGAAGCAAATGAAGAAAGCAACCAAAGCGGGCTGGAACACACCATAATCACAGCCATAATGAGTACCCGCTGAGTTCCTCTGACAGAGGAAGGGAAGGGTCATTGATGATTCAAAAACAAAACTCACAGGGAGCCTGGGTGGCTCAGTTGGTTAAGCGTTGGCCTTTGGCTCAGGGCATGATCTCACGGCTCTGGCGGTTCGAGCCCCATCGAGCTCTGTGCTGACAGCTCAGAACCTGGAGCCTGCTTCAGATGCTATGTCTCCCTCTCTCTCTGCCCCTCTCCCAGCCCCTCCCCCAGCCCCT